CGAATTTATATATTTATATATATATAGACAAAGACAGGTTTTCAAGCATCATAATACAAGTTTTATACAGCTTTAAAATTTATTTTCTTTTTCCATACTGCAAAAATAATGACTATCATACATTTTTACTATGACTACCAGAAAAAATGTTAAATGTTATTCAGTGCAACAATAGTTTATATACCAAAACATCTTGTCAGGCATATTTAAAAAAATAATTATTAGATGACATTAAAAGACTATTTAAGCATGACTACGCAGCCCCAAAAACTAATTAATTGCAATTTTTAATCTTTAGCAATCTTTGCCACTATCCTTCAAACCAACAAGAAACTTTTAATCATTTGAAATATAATAAAATTTTGTATGATCACTTCTTTTATATATTTTAAAAAGTAAAGGTCAGAATAAAGTACGCAGTTTCATTTTTATATAAATATATCTGCTACGCTGAATGACAATGAAACATTATTTCACCCATATTTTGACATTTTATTTTCACAATAGTTATTTGAAACTTTACTTGCATTTATTATGTTTTCTATGTAAATAAAATCACACTTGTCAATTTTAGTTGACGTGGACACCAAAATGGGACGTCTCATCTTTGACTCATATACAGTAAACATTTTGTCAGTAGTATTTTATATTAATTTTATATATTTATGATATATTTATTATTATTTTGTATTTATATTTAAAATATAATAATATTAATTTTATAATAATATTAATATTTATTAATGGTACATGTTTTCACATTTTTATGTTTAATATTTTTGTTTAAAATATAAGGCCAATTACTGAACTGCATTTATATTTTTATATATATTTTAATATAATAAAATATTTATTCCTTAAAAGTACTAGAAGTAGTAATGGAACCGTTAAGGACCAGAATCAAATCCAGAACCTTTCCATCCCTTCACTACCTGCACAGGCAGCACTTTTCAGGTTTCAGACACTGGCCATCTGCTGTGTACACACTCTCTCTTGCACAAACACACATTTACACATCACTGCATGCTTAGCAGCGAGTTCTGAAGAGCTGAAGAGGGATTTTGTCTAGCTTGTCATAAAGCCAGTTTTATCCAAGTGCTCTGTGTTAGATGAACGAGCATTAAAACGGTTGAATATGATGATCACTCATATGATCATAACAAACCACTGTCAAATGTACAACCGGAGCTTATCAATCTCCAGTGTCATGCTGTTGCCAAGGAAAGGTTCACTGCAGGTGCTCAACCTGTGTTCTGTGCCTCACTGAGCAAAATAGATTTCAATTCACCAGGCAGAGCATTGAGCAGAGCACTGATGTTTGGCTCCACATGAATTATAAAACATGTAAGTACAGACCTCAAACAGATGATGAGCACTCATTTCCATACTCTGCATCTCAATTTCAAATGCAACAAGATTTGATACCCGATGAGAGGTCTGTGAAGCACCACTGACACTGAGAGTCACTGCTGCTCATAGGCTGATATGAATTATATAATAATATGACGTTTATACATTTACATTACATTTAGTCATTTAGCAGACGCTTTTATCCAAAGCGACTTACAAATGAGGACAATAAAAGCAGTCAAAACTAACAAAAGAGCAACAATATGTAAGTGCAAATGACAAGTCTCGGTTAGCCTAACGCAGTACACATAGCAAGGTTTATATATATATATATATATATATATA